CAATCATCATTGATCATGCTTAAAAAACGGCATATGTTTTGCTTTTCATATGTTATGCTTTCCGTCACATGGAGTTCCATATTCGCGCATAGAATCCACAAGTTAATGGTCTCCCCTCGTGTCCATGATTTATATTCTAATCACACGTTCCGAAAGTTCAAAAATACTTCAAAAACCATATTTCATGCCATGATTTATGTTCGTCTTGTCGTAACATATCAAATGGTCAAACGATAGGATCCACCACCTACCATTCCTTTAAAATTTTAAATGGTCTTTCTTACAACCGACAATATATAATAATCATTTGGAAAATTGACTTCTTTGTCAATTCGGTTACTTGCAGTACGATATAATGTGCATTTTACGTTTTTTCTTTGCTTGACCACTTATTCATGTCTAAATATGATCAGGAATTTATGATTCGCTTTAATATTGAATGATGGGAATAGCTTGATAAAGTGTCTTCAACTTGAACTCTATGTTTTTTTGACCGTTTAAAGACTTTATTGTATTACCATATATATATTTGGTTGGGTTCACGTGGGATCAAGAGTTTTTTGTGAGACCCGTAAGACCAATTTATGTTCATTGATCAACTTTATAAGCTAATGATCTAATGGTCTAAAGTTGCACGGTGACAATTTTGTGATTATTGAGAAGTCTCGTGGCAATCTTATGATTATGAATGTTCAGATTGTAAATTTAATCCAATGGTTGAGAATTGGTCTTACGGGTCTCACGAAAAACTTTTGATCTCACATGATCCCAAGTATGTATATATATATATATATATATATATAATATAGTTTGTTTTAAATACAACCCATCACATTTGTACAACCAATGCAACCCAATAAATTGAGATGTTTATGGAAATAATGAGAGCTTATTTATTATGATTTAAATATTTATGTAAGATGAATAGAGTTCATTAATTATGATCAATACTTTATATTATGAAACAGTCAAAACTTCTATGAAATCACATATTCATCAAACTAAATGGACGGTTGAGATTAAGTTGTACAAATATAAATGGTTGTATAATTACTCACATCTCTCTCTCTCTCTGTGTGTGTATATATATATATATATATATATATAGGGTATATTTCAAATGCAACCATATCTATTTGTACAACCAATGCAACCCAATCAATTGAGATATTTATAAAAATGATGAGAGTTCATTTATTATGATTTGAATATTTATGAAAAATGATTATAGTTTATTAATTATGATCAATACTTTATATTAGAAAACAATCAAAGCTTTTATGAAATCACATATTCATCAAATTAAATGGACGGTTGAGATTGAATTGTATTGGTTGTACAAATGTAAAGGGTTGCATAATAATACACACACTCTCTCTCTCTCTCACAGACACACATGTATATATATATATATATATATATATATATATATATATTATGAAAAGTATTTCACGAAAAGCAAAGTTACAAGGGTGGTCCATAAACTTTTGGTCGGTTACATTTTTCATCCTTGGGTTCTAAGCTCACAAAATTTTGTTCATTCAAAGGCTCTATCTGTTATACAACCGTCTTGACACTATTGACGGGTTTTTTATATATCAGAACTTAACAAAATTAGAACGAAAAAACCATGATGTTAGGTTTTTTCTGCCAAGACTAACAATTTTACGTACATGAATGCTTTCACATATGCATTTCTCCGTATTTATGTAATTACGTTATATCTGTAATCTCAAAGTTAGACACATGAATCAAGGTTCATGCATAATGCATTCATTTATTCTTAATTGTGTTCTGATTCCATGTACACATACTCATAAAGTAATGACATGCGTAACATTCGATGTTGATGTGGTGTTTGAATGTACGTTTAAAAATCAAATATTCTTATAATTAATTATGTAAAAGTTAAGAGAGAGATCTATAATTTATATATCTTTGATAATCACATTTCTATAGGATCTTTTTACTTGGTTATCCAGATATGGTTATAATTGATCGTTAATAATCAGTTAACAACCATAAGGATGGTGTCTGATTGGTTTAAGTTTGGGTTCCAAAGGTCAAAAGTGTCTAGAGGTCCCAATTTCAAATCTAAGGAGGAATAAAAATCTACCTGTGCCCATGGAGGTTCAAATGTGGTGATTTCGAGCTACCCGCAAAACAGATGATCATCATGAGATTGGTCGGTGTTGCATAGCGGGTTGGATATCTATGTTAATAAAAAATAATAACCAGTTAACCAAAAACATAATCAATTTATTTGAATACTCGAAACTTATTATTGTGACTCTAAATTGCAGTAACATATTACCATGCTAGACTACAGAAAAGAAAGGAAAATAATATTTTAATTTTTCCTACCAATAAAAAGCACTAAAATCAAATGTTTATGAAAAATAAATAATATTTTATTAAATATATTAAATATTTTAATAATATAATTAATGTTAGAATCTCTAAAATATAGTAGTTCAAGAAGAAGGAAAATGATTGCATAGAGGAACTCTCAAACATTTGTCCGTGAAAAAAAAGCAGAAAAATTAAACGAATGATCTCCCTACCTAACAAGGGGATTCACTGCAAAATACTAGCTTGGCTCATTTGGTAGGGCTTTTGTAATTCTATGCTACCGAAAATGGCCCATTTTTTAGTGAGATTATACGAGCAAATGCCAGAACCAAAATATGTCATTGCTATGGGAGTACGTACAATTACAGTTGCTATTTGACTCAGACCTGTACAAAAAAGTTCAAATTTCTACCAACATAATTGGAGGTTCCAACGATGATTAATCATATTCTTCCGGAGGAAATCAAATAATTTCTTGGAATTTGTTCTGGGGCCTTATACACACTGCCCATCACACTATGGGAGCTGGCTATGTCCGAAGTCGTTACCTTAACCGCAAGGAGGGAGATGCCTCTAGTCGAAGTAACTACGAACTTCGAATTCAAGTGTAGTTAGATGTACAAAAGATTTTTACTTTTAATGCTGCATTTTAGAAAGAAAAAATATAGCATATCTGATGAGGATGCCCTAAGTTAGTAGAAGGACTTATTTGTCAAAATATGTTACTTTTGGGTCTATAACGCAAGTTGATAAAAACCTCAAGGACTATTTATGTACTTTAGCCCAATCTCCGTAGTAGTAGTTGAAGTTAGGACAAGAGAAAAGCGCGTGGGGCCATCGAATGACCAAAATCGGCAATATATTGACTTTTGCGTGCGGTTTACAAACTGAGTCCCCACTGAAGCTTTCCCGTGCATCTTTCGCTCTGATCAGGACAGGTGTCATAGAATCTGATCTAACGGTGTAGATGGAGAGTTAAATCTGCGAGTATGCGATAAGAGGGTGAGAGGACATTATTTAATAAGTGGGACCCGTTTTATGAAACGGAAATCGCCTTCGATAATATTGATGTGGATTTGGCGCTAAAACTTAACAAACTTCCAACGTTTTAAAACAACAATCATCCGAAATAGCAAATGTGATTAGAAATAATGTTGAATAACGGGTTGCTTACCAAACATTTATCCGGTAAGCATTTATCGGTAAATTTAATAATATTATTTACTTACCGGATAAGATTTTAGTCCACAAAAATGGTATCTTATGCAACAATTTATCCGGTAAACGCTTAATGTGGTAAGAGTCGTCGCCCTCACTTACCAAATGCTTACTCTGGCAAATTATATTTAAAAATGATTTATTCTTTTTATTTTTAATTAAGAATATGTGAAATGTAATCAAATAAATTATATTTAAAAATCGAGTATTTTATTCCTTTTAATTATCATTAAGGATGTTATATATTTCAGTGTTTCCAACCTTCGTACTATCTTCCATTTGAACCACCCCTTAATAAATCGTATGTTAATTTTATATGTCAAATATAAAATAATAATTATATTTGATAATAAGAACAACGTCGTTGTTGTTGACAACGATTATGTTTGATTGTAACAGGCTTCCAATGCAATCCGGTGCCATATACCATACACATGTTCAATTTCGAGGTTGAACACAACAACATTGAAAACCTAATTTGAATTTGGTTTTAGGTTAAGGATGAATCTAAATTGAAAACCTATTTGTTTATTTGTGTGTATATGTATGGATTTGAGACCACGTGAGACTAGACTGTTTTCGTGAAACCATTTTTTTATATTTGAAACTTTACAACAAAATGTTGTGAAGGTAACTTTCACATTGTTTTTACTATGAAGGTTCGACATTTTTTTATCTTCACAACATTTTGCTGTGAAATTTCAAGTATAAAAAGTGGTCTTACGAAAACAGGTTGGTCTCACGTGAACCCAACCTTATATGTATGTATGTATGTATGTATGTATGTATGTATGTAACTCTGGTTGAAGCGTTAACCGGTTACCATGCTGATGTGACAAGTGATGTGGTATCTAACTCAATATTATTTGATATTCAACACAATTTCCTACCATCATTTGGCACATTAACATGATAATCGGTTAATGCTTCAATTGGTTACCCGGATACTTAAATGTTTAAAACTATACATCCTAGATACCAAAATAAAAGTTTTGAAAGTACATTATTCAAAATAAAAATCAAGTTAAAGTATATTACTTTTTCATAAAATTTATTATTTTAATTTTATGATAAAAAGTGTTATTCAAAAAGTATGTTTTGATCTGAAAAACAAAAAACAAAAAACCAAAATGAATGAATATTGAATTATTACTTTAAATTAAAAATCAAATTTAACCATGTCACATTCTTCACTATTTGACTTTGGAGTAAAATTTTAACCATAGTTAGGCTAGTAAACTCAGGTGAATGGTTAATAAACCACTCCATTTACCAATATAGTTGGATATTAGCTGTCAAATGCCATAATATATTATGTTAATTATGACGTCATCTTACTTTTTCATCTTTTTATGTTATTTTATTTAATTGATAACCCTTTTTTATAAATAGCCACTCAAAAAAGTCTTTCAAAATCCCTTTCCCCCTCTGCTCCTCTATACACACTGACCCCCATCCTCACGGCTTCCGGCACCGGCAATCATCTCCGGCGACCGATTGTTTGGTATCGTTTGAACAAATTGTGCAGAACTAAAATTAACTCAACTTAAACTTTGTGTTTTGGCTTAATCTGATTGCATATATAGAGCGATTTGTTATGAACAGAGGATCGGTGATGAAACTTGCGTTGAAGAATCGGTGAATGCTCGCGGAATTTGATAGGTAAGTTTTGATTAGTTATTTTGGAGCGAATTTATGCTTTTTGCTGTGATTTATGTGTGTGTTTTCGTCGCTGTGATTTTGTTAACCCGTTTATTGTTCGTGGAGCTGTTGAATTGCAATCCATATACTTGTGTTTATGATTTTCGCAAATTTTGGAGGTTATATATGTGTGCATGGACAAATTATGATATTTTTATCCAGGACGAAGATCTCGTGAAAAGGAAAAAAAGGAAAGTTGAGAACATTTAGGATTGTCTTCTAGGGTTTTGTGGAAGGTAGCCCTCGGGTTTAGAACATTCACCAGCATTGTTTTTAACTTTTGATTTTTTAATTGGAAATACTGCCAATGGTGCTTGGGCCGTTGAAGTAACGAAAATGATTATTTTCTCTAATCCTGGGTTTAATGTTGGTTTTAGAGCTTTTTGTAGTTGGAGGGGGGACATAATCACATAGATAATCATCAAAATTACAGTCAATGTCCTTCTAGAACTCGGTGCTTAGTTAAGTTCTTGTTTAGCTACTTGCTTTGACATGCACAGTTGATCTTTGTTTACTGATGCACCAGAAGAACACATGTCCTCCATGGCTCCATACTTGCCTACCCTTCTGAATAAGCTTGATGGCTTCCACAGTTATCTAAATATTAATATGTTCTCTGCTTTCAAGCTTAGATATATCATATATTCAAATATGATATCATCTGTCAGTATTTAATTCTAATCATGCTATCTAGGGACCCATGCTCAAATATAATAATGTTGATACATACGCAAGGTGGCTTCTTTTCTAAATGTACGATTCCTTGCACTATCCTTTTGTTGAAATGTTACATCTAGCATGGATTATGATAAGTAGCCTTTAGAAAAAGACAATAGATGTTTAATCATATTGGAGTAAACAAATGTCAAATGTAAGACAATAGCAACCTGTCTGATGTTTTTTTAATGTGATGTTTGTTTTTTTGTTGTTGAATTGTCAACCCAGTGATTTAATGTTACTTGCCTTCACTGGCACCGGAACCTTGTGGGTATCTTATTCTTTTATATAAATAAATTTATTTTATGTCGTAAGCAGCTTCGTGGAACTTACATACATGTTTCTTTGATGCTTGGCTTCTTGCGATCAATACTTGATAACATGAGGGCAAATTAGACTTCCAGTTTAAGCTTGTTGTTTTATGTCGTTGCTGTTCTACCTTCCTTGGAACAACTTGTACGTTTTTTCAGGAACGGCAATGGGGCAGATATGGGTCCATAGATCATCCTGCCGTACCCGTCCCACATCCTATATTCACCTCCAAAATTTGGCTCACTCTAGCGTTTACACTAACCCTATCTTCCCCGAGTTCTATTCCCGCACAATTATCCATCCCGACCACGACCATAATTTTTATATCATATTGGATTTTATTACTCACCAAAACCTATAAAATACCAGTAAAAACTTTAAAATGTAGACGTATATTATGTTTTCAATACAAAAAAAAAGAATATACTCACAAAAGAATATACAACATATGTTAAGCATTTGTTATTGTACACCTTATGCATTTCTGAACAATGATTGCATATACCATCTGAGTTTGAAAGCATGAACTTGAGTAGATTGAGCTGAGTATATTTCAAGCATTTGGATTCTTTTACGGAGCTACACTCAAGGTGAAAATTTTATTTCTTTTTGACCCTAATCCTAATCCAATTAATGATCTTACATGCAAGTCGCACTTGAGCAGCTTACTGCTTGATTAAGTTTGGCTCGTTTACAACCCTCTTGGCACTTGGGGATGAGATATTTGCTGAAACAAATCTGGTGTAATAATAAAACTAAACTATCTAATATATATATATGTGTATATATATATATATATATATATATTTTATGTTCTGGTTCTGAACTGTTTGAAGCTAGCCAAGGTGTTGTTGTACTATGGGTTTTCTGCATATTTGGTGGTATATTGAAGACATTCACAGCTTGCATATTATATTATTTCGTTTAGAAGGCCTGACAGGCAGCTAATGTTTGTGACATAAGGAATAGAGCCGGTGGTTAAAATGATGGAACATAAGCGAAGTCCAGTATCTGTTGAGCAGGGGAGTCTTACTTCTTTGACACCAAAAAGGCACAAGGCTGGTTTATCCATCTCCTCCAAGGTTTCTTCTTGTTCCTTGCTCTGCACCCTTTTCAAATCCACATCTTATCACATGACGTGTGCTTCTGGGGAAGTTCATATTCACAATGCATTTTCGTATGGATATGTCATGGTGTCTTCACTGAAGTTACTAATTGACTACAAAGTTTTAGAGCAAATTTATATAAAATATATATGGAATCCTGACATAGCAGTACATTAAGGGCATCTTTTCCTGATTGCATCCTTGAAGTGGAGAAATGAGAAAATTGCACTTCCTGTTGGAAGTTAAAATCGCCCCTATAGGAGGTGAATATTGATAAACTAAATAAGAGGAATATAGTAAAAGATAAGATTTGAGTTATGGGGACATTCATGCCATTGTCTACTTGGTGGCAATTTTTTTTTCCCAGAATTAATTATTCTATTCTCTGCAGTTTTGTTGTATTCGACACAGTTTTTTCATAGCCAGGGGTTGCCACTGGAACAACCGCTCCACTCTTTGGAGTAGAGGTCTAGTCTGCATACATCCCACAACCCAGATCCCACCTCGGTCATCCTACATCCCACCCCCTGGACCCACCTATGAGTGAGATATATTTGGCTAGTTTGGTTTGATGGGATGTGTTCTTTCTATAGCATCTCCATAGGGTGGTGTCAGTTAGTAAACTTACTGTTCTTTCCTTTCACATTCTTTTACTTAGAATTATGGTCTGAATGATTTAAATTGTCCATATATACTATGTAAACACAGAAGCTGTTGAAGATTTCATCTTCATTGTTTTTGACTTTCTTAATAGGAAAGAAAAGAGAAGGTTGGTGAACGGATAGCAGCCCTTCAGCAGCTCGTCTCCCCATATGGCAAGGTACATCTTTAGAAGTTTTAAGGGCTACGTGAGAAAAGATACTCTTTATTGATGGCATATACATATTGAAGGAACATAAGTCGTCTATATATTGTTTTTAATGAACTTTTGGTACTATTGTGCATCTTACAGATGCTAGTAATTAAAATGGATTATTTCTCTTATATAAGGTATGTTAATTGCAGACAGATACCGCTTCTGTACTTCTCGAGGCAATGGAGTACATACGCTTTCTTCATGAACAAGTCAAGGTTTGCCCCTGCTCATATCAACTCACTTTTTTATAGCTGTACATAGACATGACATACCAACAGCATGCAAATTTTGCCCCGGATTCATCATACCGTCAAAACCAGTATATGCATATCCACCATCAAAATATTAATCTGTCAATCAATGTATATATATATATATATGTATGTATGCATATTGAAATTCATATAGTATATATGCATATAATGGTTCTCACGGTTCTTAGAGTATTTATGGTTCTCATTTGAACGGTATTCAGTTGCAAACTAAACAGCAACATTATTTTGGAGACAAAGTTTTAATAAAAGTATTTAACTATTATCGAACCATTTGAAAATATAGGGGAAACATGTGGGACCCAAGAAATCAATGCTATCGATTTTTTTCTAATAAATACTAATGGGCAAATATGGACTTTTTGGACTGAGCTGCATCTTTATTCTCATCATAAATGTGAGATTGGATATGTACCAACCCTTTAAGCTTTGATCATCACTCCAGACACTTGTGTAGCTTAAATCTTTTGCCTTCTTAATTCTCAATATTGTTTCAGGTGCTGAGTGCTCCTTACCTTCACAACAACTCAACAGCTCAATCTCAGGTGAGAACCAATAGCGTTAGAACCAAGTTAAAGCTCCCAGGATGCGTTTGGTATGCAGGACAGAACAAAAACTTTGTTGTCCCATGTGTGGTACGACATTAAGACCGGGACATGACATAACCGAGTGGGACAAAAATACATTTTTTATTCAGTCCTACCAAAATAGATAGAACAAAAATTAGGGAGATGATACAATATTGATAAATCACTACAACACCCATGATGAATTCAAACCATAAAAACCTTGCAAAATTCTTTCACCCTCCTACCTCACTCTTGTTATGTCGAATCCCCTTTGCCTACCAAATGCACCCCATAAAACTAAATCCTTTTCTTTATCCGGGTTGGGTTCCGGTGAGAATATGGAAGTTAAGGTGAGAAGAGATCTCCACCCTTTGATCAATCATAATTGAAGATCAACATTAATGTGGTGCACTGAGATGCAATTCTTGTGAGAAGCACAATTCTTAAGGTGGGGGTGAGATTAAAAGTTACAAAGGGTCCAAATCTTTTCTTATGCTTCTCACTTTAACTCCTATTCTCACACGATCCTTCGTTTTCTCTATCTCATGTATATGTGATATGTATGCATGCAAGCAAGCATATGTCCCATTATTCGGCTTAATGTTATTATGTATGAAGTAAAGAAAGATCAGGCGGTGAACTTCTTGATGGATTTGCTGTAACGGGTGTTGTAGGAAATAGATATGTATAACCTGAAAAGCAAAGGGTTGAGACTGGTTCCGATTTCGTATACAATGGGAGTTGCGAGCAGCAACGGCGCAGATATATGGGCCCCAATCAAGACCAATAATAATTCCCCGAAAACGTAGAAGAAAACTGACAGACGATGTAGATTTAATCGGTTAGGGGGAAGAGTTATATATATATATATATATATATAATATATATATGCATAGCAAGTCAAGTAAAGCAGCATCCAAGGATAATAAAGCATCGGATTATAGGTATTCAAATGATGGGGGTGTTGTATATTGTAATGATCTCAAATGGAGATATGATGAATATTACATGATATATGATATGAGAAGCATAATATTATATGAATCTTTTGCATATATATATTATTTTATAATATAAATCAATCACATATATACATATATGTATACATATACATACATGTAAGGAATTGAATTATTCAAGATACTAAAGTGGAAACAATACATTAGTTATTGATGTAGGACTAGTAGTGAGCCTTTCGACCCAGCACCTTCTTGTTAGATGCCATGGGTGGCATGACCATGGGTGGCATCACCATGGGTATGGGTGGTAGTGGTATGGCTGGCATTGGTGGCATGACCATGGATATGGGTGGTATGGCTGGCATTGGTGGCATGACCATGGGTATGGGTGGTAGTGGTATGGCTGGCATTGGTGGCATGACCATGGGTATGGGTGTTAGTGGTATGGCTGTCATGGGTGGCATGACCATGGCCATGGGTGGCATGACCGTGGGTGCTTTGCAGCAGGTAGTGATACCACCTTGGCAGCATGGTATTCCTTCAATGCCAACAGATAAAACCATAAAAGCGGTTATGATTGCCACAATTTGCTTCTTTCCACCACCCATTTTCCTCTTCTCTACCCAACATCTATCTGCATACATATCTATTTATACAGTGGAATTGGTAATGTATTGATACTCATATACACTATTAAAATATATGTATGTTGTCAATCAATATATTTATCAATGTATACAATTATAGAGGTGAATTATTATGCAATCCTTTACATTTGTACAACCAATACAACTCAATCTCAACCGTCCATTTAATTTGATGAATATATGATCTCATAAAAATTCTGGTTGTTTACTAATATAAAAGTATTGATCATAATTAATGAACTCTAGTCATCTTTCATAAATATTCAAATCATAATAAATGAACTCTCGTCATTTCTATAAATATCTCAATTGATTGAGTTGCATTGGTTGTACAAATGGACATGGTTGTATTTGAAATATATCATACAATTATATATGTAAGAATGTATAAAAATTGATGTATATTATATACAGTAACTACTTATGCACACAGTTCTCACATTTGGTGTGATTTAAACCTGTCTAGTCTCTTGAGATCTACCGGATACTACTGGGACAATGACCCTTTTGGTATATACTCACTTATTTTTATATATTGTATATGCATTATATACCAATTTTTATGATTTTATGGTTTTTATTTGATCTTTCCCTATACATATGTGTGTGTATATATGGAGCTTTGGACTTGTCAACCTTGTGTGGATTATTTACAAAGATCGTAAAAAACTATGTTCATTGATTTGTCCATCTGTAGATCATTTTCATTCAGTAAAAGAAAATTTCTTATTGTTATTATTTTGTCTGAATGTAATCTTTTCAAATCAAACAGCTAAAAAAGTACATTGTTGTCTTGAACACAACGTAAATCGGCATGCATAAATAACATCAATTATTGAACCATTATGTTTGGAGTTTATCTATATTATTTTGTGCGTGTAGGTCTTAAAATCCGAATCCCATAAGGTTTTTGTGTATCTTTTAGACGAATGTGACATATCGAGTGCGTTTGGTTTATACGAATAAAACAGGGACGGACCTACTTTGGTGGTTATGGTGGCATGTGCCACCGTATTATTCCTCCGTCGAAGGGTAAAAAAATTTATGTTCGTGAAAGGTACAACCGTATTAATCTGTTGTGTGCCACCGTATATATTTTGAAACTACAATGAAAACAAGTTTTATTTGGTAGGGTTGATTTGCAAGACTTTTGTTCCATCCAAACTCAAGTTCGAATTGTGTTAATGTCGTTTTCTTAGTCAAATGGTGCCGCCGATTGAAAAAAATTCCGTATATTTGTTTCTTATAGTCAAATGGTGCCGCCATTGAAAAAAAATTATGTGTATTTGTTTCTTATAATCAATTGGTGCCACAGTTTGAAAAAAATTCTGGGTCCGTCATGGAGTAAATATCCATTTATGGAAGTTGGTTGATAGGAATTATTAAATGCACGTAATATGAAAAATATAACTACACTAGGGGCCGTTTACCTAAATGCTTGCCCGGTAAGCGTTTACTGTTAAGAGTCAACACTATAATTTATTTTATCGGGTAAAATTGTAGTACATCAAAATGTATCTTATGCAACAATTTATCTGGTAAGCGCTTACCCGGGTAAGAGTCGTTACCCTCACTTACCGGGTAAGACTCCATTTTATCATCGCTCTTAGCAGGTAAGATTCTTGTCCCTTACCATGTTCATCCAGTAAGGAAAATTGCCCAGTAAGTACATATCAGGTAAGCGTTCAGTAAACGGCCCGTAAGTAAAATTACTATAATTACATAAAAAGTTCGTTGGAGCGTTATAGAAAACCGTTTATATATTATCCGATGTTCTAATACAATTCTTTGGGGATCCTCTTCAAAGGTCATCCGTACGAGTCATGTAAGATCACTGAGGTTTTTCTTGACTGTTCTTCAAAGGTCATCCGTACGAGTCAGGAGGGAAATGAATTTTTTTATTCATTCCCATCAATAAGATTGAATTATTATTAATTTACGTAAAATATATTTAAAAAGTTTACTGGATAATAAAATTATAGAATATCATAATAGAGAGAGTTTCAAATACAAGCCATTGATTTCTTTTATACAAATCAATCTTAACCGTCCATTTAACCTAATGAATATGTGGTTCCATAAATATTTCAATTGTTTTATAATCTAAAACAATGATCACAATGAATGAATTCTATCATGTTTCATACATAACTCAATTGTTTTCTAATATAAATGTCGAACATGGTTTGCATGGTTTACAAGAATTTCATGGTCTGTATTTTAAAATCTCTCTATTTTAATAATATAATTAGTGTTGAAATATATAAAATAGAGAATATGTTGGCGTTAAATGTAATTTTTTTTACTGCTTTTAACTTTTAGTTCTCTATTTCAGAGATATTACAGTAAATATGTTGGCGTTAAATGTAATTTTTTTTTACTGCTTTTAACTTTTAGTTCTCTATTTCAGAGATATTACAGAAAATATGTTGGAGATGCTCTAAATAGATATGCATATAACAACACTTGTGAAAAGGTGTTATTGGATCGACGATATCAAAATTGCATTAAGTGACGACCTAAATTTTTATCAAATCATGTTTTTTTTTCGCAAACTTTCAAGATTATGTGTCAACAACTTTGAATAATAAGACTTGGAAATTTAGGAATACTTTTCAGTGGTCACCAGTTTAGTCCTACAAGACTATTTATTGATTTTTCTAGCTGTATATCGAACGGAAATGTGCGTCGACGAACCCTTTTTTTCCACTAGTTAAATATGATAAGAGTACAAAGTAGACTTAATTAAAGACCTTAATACGGGTTAATCAGTTAAAGGGAAACATGTTACGATCAGTGTTTTTTTTTTTTTAAACCTTCACGTGGCATTCACCCGTTGGTCAACAAATTGGTTAAACTGGATCACACCTTGTGGACCGGTTAAGCTGGATCGGGCATTGTGGACTGGCTAAGGACTGCTTATATTGGTTCATATCAGTTTCAAATTTTGAATTCGGGACCGGTTTTATCATAAACAGTTTCCTGGTGACACCTTTTTTTTTTTTTTTTACTATGACTCGTTATAAACTTATAACCAGTTAAGGAACCGGGGACAACCGTTTTTTGGGGGTATTTTGGTCAATTTACACGCACCGATTAATCCTCTAGACAACCACGAATAGCCTTGAATCATTACAGGTAAACCTTCATGACCACAAAAGAAAATATTCATTTTACATATCATCCATAAATAAATTCCTTCGTCGATCGAAGTCCACGAATTTCAAAGAGAATGTCGAAACCGATTTCGCGTCCATCGTTACGATAAAAAAACACATCAATTCTTCGAAATCGAATGAAAACTCTACCATAAAAAATGGTGACGGTCAACACCCAGAAACCGAAATTGAAAATAGAAATAGAATATCAATACGTAGAAGTCGTGGATTTAATTATTGAAATACAAGAAACATAACATGAAGTCTTGATTAAACACGAATCAATGGCGGATGATTGATGACAAGATGGAGGGAGACTTTCGACCAAACACCATCTTCCGGCCAACAACGATGGCCGGAGACGGCGATGGTGCGAAGGGCACCACCACCACCAGGTTCGGTTGTGCCCGGTTGGTTGCAATGCAACAAGTGGTCACGTCACCTTGGCAGCACGCGATCCCTTCCACCACTACCGTCGATGTCCCCACCAATAAAAGCATCAAACCGATTATAACAACTCCCATTTGCTTATTATCGTTGCCCATTATCGTTTTTCTCTTACACTTAACCTCTACATACATATGCATATATATATATATATATATATATATATATAGATATAGATAGATACGATTAGTATTAAGCATTGAAGTTGTAAAGAGCGTAAAACACTATGTCCATTGATTTGCCCACCCATATATTGTATTTTACATTGAAAGCAAGATTTAAGTGTAACTTTCGAGAATATAATCGTTAAACGAAACCGTTTTGCAGAGGGTGTTTAAATTTTTCCTACAATTTTGAAATTAGAAGATGACCGTTGTTGTGGTTTAAAAAAAGGCAAATTACATGAAAAAGTAACGTACTTTAACTTGATTTATATTATGAGTAACGTACTTTCAAAACTTCCATTTTAGTACCTAACATATAAAGTTTTGAACATCTAGGTACTTGGATAACTGGTTGAAGACTAAATTTAGATTAAAAAAATTCATGTCACTAACCACGTTAGTAAATAATACTGAGTTGAATACCACATTACTCGCCACATCGGCATGATAACCAGTTAATGCTTCAACAGCTTATCCATGTACTTAAATGTTTAAAACTTTACATTTTAGGTACCAAAATGAAAGTTTTGAAAGTACATTACCCAAAATAAAAATCAAGTTAAAGTACGTTACTTTTTTATTCAATTTGGCCTTTAAAAAACTTCCAGATGTGGTCCTTTACTCTAATGGTTGTTAAAAAAATTCCATTAAAGAATAAAAGAACGAAAATAATTACAAAATTGCCACCATGCAACTTTATACCATTATATCATTAGCTTATAAAGTTGATCAATGAACATAAATTGGTCTTACGGGTCTCATGAAAAACCCTTGGTCTCACGTGAACCCAACCCTCTCTATATATATACACATATATTAATTAACCTGGATATCAAACCCGTTATGCGAGCCGATTAATCCTAGAACGACCACATGCTTTGCAGATAGCCCGGAGTCACCGCATTTAAACCTCCATGGCCACAAAGAGATTTTTATTCGTCCTTGGATTTGAATCTGGGACCTCCAAGTACTTTTGACCTTTGAATTCAAGCTCAAACCAATCAGACACCACCCTTATGATTAACATCAATGTATTTTGCTGTCGGTAAAAACACATATTATAAGTAGATTAGATCTTGTGAACAATGATGATATCTGATAATTCGTTGACGGATTGATACAACATTCCATTATTAAAATTAGTGATTGATATGTGTGACGTTGACATGCCCTACGTTTTAGAGATAAACCATGTGACATTTTCTTTTTCAAAATTTTAAAAATGTTTCAAAGCGGTAAAAACTTGCAAAATTCGAAAAAACAAGAGCTGTTTAGAATTGCTTATAAAAGCTGTTTTTTAACTTATTTCAGTCTGACATCGATGATAAGCTGTTTTCTGGTGTTTGAATAAGAAAAAAAAAACTGCTTATACCAGTGCCAAACCGGTAATAAGATGTTTTTGATAAGTTAATCCTTCCTGACTTATGAAAAACTGCTTATTACCAGTTTACAATTTTAATTCTGTTTTATTTAACTCCGGTTTAATACCACATAAGTTAATAAGCACTTTTACAAAAAAAAAGCATAAGTTGTTTTAAATAAGCAATCCCAAACACCCCCTCATTATGGACAATTTTATTTATACCATCTAATTTACCAAAAAGCAGAAATTTGTAGGCGGGTTTTAAACGGAAATATCTTTGTTTTACGAAAATGCAAGAATAAAAATTAGAATAAGAAAAATTAGTATTAATCAACAATTTATAGTTGTCTTAGATTTGTCTTTATCCCTTAAGTTGTAAATCAAATAGTTTGATTACCAGAGTTGGGTTCCGATAAGAATAAGAATTATGGTGAGAACATGAGAACAAACTCAAACCAATCAGACAGCATCCTTGTGGCTAATGCATCAAATCTTTCATGTCATCAGATGATGAAGGGAAAATATAATTGTTTCATAAGTTGCAAAAATAGCTCAGCAAGTTGTTCAGATTAAGGGATTGCATAGACAAGCTTAGATAATGTCAGAATGAATCCATCTGACCAATCAAAAACTGCTGATATCGACTTCGGATTCTCCCTCGAGAATTCCAGCACGTGTTCACGCTTCCGGTCGTCAATTCTGCATCGTATAACACGAGCATAAGGTCTTACAATTCCTACGTATACACACAATGCCGTCAACTCTGTTATCTACCGTTCAGACAAAGCAACATATGTCAAGTAAGGTGAAAGCTAAAAGGATAAGGGCAGTTTCCGTTAGGAAGCTAAAATTTATAAGGAACCTAGGAATGGTCCACACCACGGCGCGACCCGTGGCATATTCATCAGAAATATGGACATGTTATTCATTGTGAATGTGTGATTCATGATGAATAACATGTCCGTATTCATCATGAGTGTGTGATTCAAGATGAAAACACTTCCATATTCATCATGAATGTGTTATTCAAGATGAATATGCATCCTAAAAAGGGACATGTGGCACATTTTGGGTGGTTCCCGGGTTCCTAATCAATAAAAAAAACTTCCCTCAAAAGGGATCTTGTAAAGCAAAACAAATGCAAAGGTAGCATATAGTTTTAGATACAACCTCAACAGCTTTTTTTGTATGTCATATCTTTTGCACCTTTGAACACTTCTAAGCCTTTCTTTGCAACTTGCTCCTTTTTTGCATGCAAATGTTAAAAATGAAGTTGCTTTTTAACTAGGGATTGGGTTCCGGTCAGAATGGAAGTTATGGTGAGAAGGAATCTCCACCATTGGATGCACATTAGGATGAGATGCACCGGATCAATCCCCACAGACTTGCAAGCGTATACACGAATTTATTCTATGTTGTGTTTCTAGTAATTAGCCCTTATATCATATGATCATTTCACCAATCACAAAATTCAGATTTGTTACACTTGAAACAGTCGGCATGGTCTTAAACCCTAAACCGGATTATCTTCAGCCGGTTGTGTTCCCGTATGCTTGTCTTCCTACTCGTGAAAGGCTGAACCTACTCATCGCTCGTTTGCCAATTAAAACGGAAATGCAAGTGTCGATTTCAACCCGACAACTGTCGCTACATTTTGTTCTTCTTATTGCATAAACGCAAAATTTGTATTACATAAGTATAGTCACCTTTATTTGATTTAACTGCTTACATAATCCAACTACTTCCAGTCGCCAACCACCAGCTTATTCAATACTTCTTACTATTTCTTCCATCAACATCAAGGCTCAGCCTCTTTACCATCAACCATAATAAGGTGAAGGTGAAGGCGAAGGTGCAAAGAGTTCCCAACCGTTGTCCTCCTCATCGGCTCCCGGAGGAATGGGGACCGTGCAACAGGGGTAACCAGGGTAGCAGCAAACCTCATCTGGACGAACATCAAATGGAAACGGCTTCGATGCCATTGTAGTAGTCGCACCCAGCACAAGTATCATCATGCAGATAGCCACGATAGATCTCATGATGCCCATGCTTGGTTGTTGGTTTGGATGCTGCTCGATTCAGTTATTTATACTAGAAAAACTGTGTAAGAAAAGGGCATCTTTCATTAAACGGCTAAGACAACAAAGAACATAACTAACCTCCTGGGATTCATCGCTGGATTTCGTCTGTTTTCTAAACTTATGACATACTCGTTATACATATTCCCTACGAACCAAAACATAGGATAAGTTTGTTGTGGCTAATATTGTCTTCAATCTTGATAAACATGAACCCAGACTACTGTAAATATCATTCTTAGGAAGCAGGAGCCTATTGTGCAGCTATACTCGGTTGCTCCTCATTACCCTTAATCTCTTCCTTTCGACCCTTGATGTGATCTATTCTAACAAAAACTATTTGATACTCCTACATACATACCCTTAATCTCGTAGATATATCCAGCGAGTTTGTAGTCAGGGCCTATCCGTTAATACGACCCATATGAACTAAGTTAATACAGATTGAGAATACTCCAAGTAACTCTAGTGTGTTCCACAACTTGAAGGTTCAAAGGACGAAAGGAGGAGTAACTGGAAGTTGGAATAACCAGGGGGAGATTTTTTTGCCATAGCACCGACGATCAAAGACCTTCATTTAAGTATTACAATTGGATGAACCATAAAATTTGCAATAAGAAACATGGTGACATCAGGCTGTTCATCGGGTTGAAATCCAATGGATTTAGATGGATCGGATCGGATCCAATCATCTATTGGAAGTTGGTTTTTCCATCCAATCCAATGGATGAACGGATCAGATCGGTTCAATCCAAAGGATATTACTATTGATTATCCATTGGATCAGATTGAATATATCCAATATTTTCATCCAATTTCCAAACAATTAATTCACTTTCAACCAATTATTTATATATTTTCCTAATTTCTTAAAAGAACACTACAACAAATATCAGGTAGAAACTATAGTAATTATATATATATATGTATGTATATTAATTAGTTGGTAGTTGGATGGGTAATTCATAAAAAAAATTAACCCATAAAAAATGGACGGCCATTGGATTGGATTGGATCCATTCAGTTTTATTGGATTATGGATTGCCATCCAAGAACCATCGCTCCAATTTGGATGTTGAAATTTCCAATCTGGTCTAATCCAATTATAGTTGGCCGGTTCTAATTGTATTGTATTACTTTCTGCATGTCCCTTTACACATGCTAACTTCACAACTGTAAAATCTTCAGTAGAAAGCAATGATCTATCATGCATCAAATCGTTCATGTCTATGAACTGGTAAAGAACTGCATCAGACGATGGAAGAGACTAACTAGTTGTTCTATAAGTTGCAAAAATAGCTCAGTACATTGTTCAGAATGAGGGAGTGCATAGACAGGCTTAGATAATGTCAAGAACAATTCCAACTGACCAATCAAGCTGCTGATATTGGCTTCAGCTTCTCCCTCAAGAACTCCAGCATGTGTTCACGCTTCCAGTTGTCAATTCTGCATCAGATAACATGAGCATAAGGTCTTAAATTTTCTAGCAATACGCAAAACACTGTCACCTTTCATTTGAGAGATCAACTAAACATCATATATAAGCTAAAAAAGTTGCCAAACCAACAAGACGAAGGTAGCATAGTTATAGGTACAACCTCTACAGTGTTCTTAAAAGACTCTTCACTGTTTTTTATCTTTTGCACCTTTGGACACTCTGCTAAGCCTTTCTTTACAATTTGCTCCTTTTGGGCATGAAAATGTTAAAAATGAAGTTGCTTTTTAAGGAACTAAATACTTTTATTACATAAAATGTTACCAAAGCACTCCTACTCGTTCAGAAAGTTGTGATAGGTCATGCTTCCTCCCCAAGAAAAACACAAATTAATTATGTTTCTAGAACCATGGTGATTTGACTGATTTCAGATCACATCAAACCCCTGAAAAGCCAATTTAGTCAACAAGTAACGGTACATGGCAGCAATGCACAATAGCACCTGCCTCCATCCCCACAAAAAGTAATAAATGAAAAACAAGATAATGATTAGAAGTCCAAAAAAATGAATGAGTTGAAGTGGATGGAATAATCAAGCAGCATAGTTGATACCTGTAACAAGTCCAGCTGTTATTTTTTTTGTCTATCACTAATGGGTAATTGAGTATCATCAGACTAACTGATCTATTGATGATAAGTATGAGAAGACATGTAGAAAACAGGTTCTAAAGGGCAGAACATCATTATCCGACTACAGGAAAGTATCCACTTTATACTCGACAAGTTGTTGACCATATGCAGAATATGCTTTGGCCGATGACAAGCATATGAAACCAAACAACAAACACACCTTATGATTTCTTTATGTTGTCCAGCATCATCCAACATGATCAACTTTGGTGGAGCATTAAATGCATAGTGCACTTTAACAGAAGGAAACTTGTCCTTCTCATCTTCTATGAAACTAACTATTTCTGGATAAAACACAAGCTTCCTCATGCATACCTCCAGAACAGCTCCAGAGTAGACGATCTGTAATCCATGAGGGTTAGATAAATACTTCATGACCACCCTAGAAGTTAAGAACAATGACTACAATCAGTGGCGGATCCAGAAACTTCTATTATTGGGGGCACCTTTTAAGGATGTCAAAAAAAATCTGAAACCGAATAACTCTTTCGAACCAATACGATTTTGGGTTATTCGGTTTTCGGCTTAAAAGTCCACTTTAATTGAATAAAAATAATTTATTCATTAGTATTATAGCAAACAAAACAAGAGATTTAAAATGAATTTTAACGGGTTGACACTTAAAGTTAGAGGAATTAGAGTTTAATTGATCAAGTAATGACTCCTTCAAGTAAGAGTTCTAAATGAGATGACAAGAATTAGAATTGAGTCTTAACTTTTATTTGTTCCGGGCCTATTAATAGTTTTTAGGTTAACAAAATAAAAAATACAAATAAACTACTCCTAAGATTTGTTGGGGGCCTGTTGTGAACCCACCGATGACTACAATGAACAACTATAATCACATGCTTTGAGCCAGAATTAGACAAAACGAAAAAAGAGCAGCAGATTGGCCTCAACTTGAACTTGAAAAATATAAAACACAGCTTGGATTCTATTACAGAAAGTATAGCATTGAGACCTTGCTAGTGGAGTCATCAGAGTCCTCAGCACAGCATTTTCGGCAATCAGACAGCAGTTCTGCAAGCAACCAAACATGTTTAAGTAGTTCAACTTCATAATTGTATGAATCCGGGTGGATAAACTGGCTCCTTTGGTTTGATTTAGCTTAGCTTAATTAACAAAGGAATCAAAAACATACTGTCGAAATATCATCCTCCTATATGTGATAAATAAACCATATTACTTAAGTATGGGTGATGAATCAAATTAACATGTAGATCTCTACAGCTTCCTACGTTTGTTGAAAAAGAAGACAACCCTATTACATTGTGCAACCTTTCCTTGCCTTTGTAGAATCGGTTTCCCATTTACACACAACAGGGGGAGCCGTCCCACCAGTTAGGCACCACACCCATTGACGCTTGTCCAAAGTGAATCATATCATTTGAAAAAATATGTATAAAGGAGACCAAGAAGATAAGAATTCTTAGTTCATGAGTTGTAGGCAGGAATTTATGTCACCACCAGCATAGACTAAAGCAAGTGTGGGATATGAAGCCGGTGTTAAAGATCGTGTATTGACTTAGGTTTTCTGTTCTTTGTCCAAGTCTGGTTTCACATTTTGCTGGATGTCAAAACCTACCTTGTATTACAAGAACGCAAAACTCCTATGATTTTGCTGAAATGTTATCACGAACAAAGCTCCATTTATATGACCATACAGTCCAATACAGTTTGCAATGTTTTTTCAAAAACAATCGAGTATCTACAATCAACCGCAGTTTCACGTATTCTCATCCAGATTGCAGCTTATCTTTTGGAAACTAAGAAGTGTAATTAGATAAGTAGAATCACAAAAATCTCCTATCATACACCAAATGAACTCAATGAAATGCAAAATATCAACAAACACCATGGAAGTTCAATAATCTATTTAATTATCTCTAATCTACATAAATATGATCACACAATCGATCACACGAATCAAGAAATAACAGAACCTTGGTCTTTGACATATTCGGCGAGGGCATTGCAATCGGAACAGAGCGCGAGACCTGTAAACCCTAGAACCTCACACTCTTTGGAGCTCAGTTGTTCTGCTCTTATACAGACAATTAACAAGAATCCTGCGTAAATTAACTTCCACATTTTCACCGATCGTTTGGTTCTTCGACTTCTTCCCACCCCCGCAACCGATCAAACGAATGATTTTGACTTGAAGAGACGACCCTTCACTCCAGGCTTAAATACCCGGCCCACCCTTCCGGTTCAACCTTCTGACCCGGATCGATAATTAAAAAAACGGTTTATGATGATACGGCCCTTTACCAAATTTTTTATGAAGTATTGTATAGATAAATTTTTTTGTCCGGATAAATTTGTTTGTATGGATAAATGGATGTTGTTGTTTACTTTTTCTATCTGAATCAATAGTCTGAATAACATAAATGACCGATTTACCTCCAATATTAATTATTTGAACATCAAAGCAAAAAAATCATAAATAGGCCGAAGATGGGGTGTCTCATATGGGAAGAAGGCGGTACTTTAAATAAGGGGTATAGGTGTCATTTTTTGTGGCTGAACGGGGACAACACACCATTTATATCTGTACGATTAAACCATGTTCTGTCGAATAAGTCGTAAGTAAACAACCTAAATGCGCTGTGCAAATAAGCCAGATAGACCAATAAGCCTAATTAAGTCGCAAGTAAACAGCCCATTACCATGAGAAGAGAGTCGGTCTCAACAGTAACATGTTGGAGTTATAGTGAAAGAATCCAAGAAAGAGCTTCGTTTACAATTACACCTATAGCTTCCGCTTCAAAGACAGAAACCGTACCTCCGAAACCTCATAATCTTTCCATGGATAAAGGCTCCTTATCATCCAAAACGAGCATTCTCACCATGCACGATTGATGCATCAACATTCAGCTTGGCCGATAGGAGGAGCCGTCCACCTTTGGTTCTCGATTCTGCTAATTCGATTTGCTCACGTATTGTGGCTCGTCAACTTCGCTCTTGCAACCTGCCATTGACTTACCATATTGCTACTCCAATCCATAGCCGTAGCAGCTGAAACGGTTTTGTTTCTAAAAAACCAAATACCCCACAGAACCGTGACGATTTTGACAAGACCCTTGCTTGGTTGGGAGCTTAGCTTTTCGAGAAGCCACTCAGGGGCATTCTTGACCATCCGCATATCATAGACGAGCCCAATGTGTTGCCAGCATCAAGAGGCAAAGTTGTAGTCAAAAAATACATGAAGCAAGTGTTACCACGTCATTTACACAAAAAGGGCAACCCCCCTTCCTGCTAACATATTTCGGACGAGAACATTATTACGGCAGAACCTCGATGTGAAGACTTCCAACTTCGAAGGAATGAAGAGATCCCAAATTTTCTTCCACCCGACGATGACGCTATTTACATTTACGTGTCGAGCATTATACGTATGCTAAAAGTGGTAACCAATGTTTGTATTTTGTTACGTCATGTTATCTAATTATTAAGTGAGAAAATAAAAGAATATATTATCTTGTTTATTATTGCTATCGAAATATGTCATCAAGTAGTAGAAATGGATATTTGAAACAACCTCATAAAGACTGATTCTTGATCTCATCTGATGAGGACGAACTGTCGGTCCTTCTTTGACAAGTTTTTTTCAGTCGAACCAAATAAAGACCAATCTGAACTTTTAATTTTTTTTTTAAATATGTTATTTTTCTTTCTCTTATAACAAATTGGACCAAATAAATATGTTGTGCTCATAACTGCTAGTTCAATTTTTTTTTTTCTAAATTAAAGTTCAATTTAAAATATACATAAGAAATCGTTCTAATCATAAGGGTGGTGCCTAATTGGTTTGAGTTTGGTTTCAAATGTCAAAAATACCAGGAGGTCCCAGGTTCAAATACAAGTAGGAATAAAAATCCCCTTGTGGCCATGGAGGTTCAAATGCGGTGACTCCGGACTACCTGCAAAGCAGGTGGTCGCCCTAGGATTAGTTAGCTCACGAAGCGGGTTGGATATTCAGGTTAATCAACAAAAAAAACCTAATCCTTCAAAGGACACTAGGATAGGTTCGGTTCTCAACCGGTTTCCGGTCTAAAAACCAAGACCAATACGAATTCAACTGTTCAGCCTGTCCTGATTTTATTTCGTTTTTTATTAAACAAAATTCACAATTGCTTCCACAAAAGCAACTCCAGACATCCACTTGGTCATTTTCTAGGCTGATCCTTAACCGGTCCTTGATCTGAAAACTATGACTAATCCAGACCCGACAATAGCTCAGTATTTTTGTGCAGCTCTACAATAACGAACACCCAAAATGCATGAAACTTGAACTCCCATGGATTCTTATCCAAATCCTATAACCATTTAATGGCTAACATATAAAAACCTTCAATGCATAAGGATTACAAAAGCCAAGAGTATATACAACTTGATGAATGTTAACAATTTTGATGGGAACGTGCTCGTTTCTAAACACACGAATAAAAGAAGAGCGAAAGAAGTAGATGATATATTTTTAAAGTAGTTATGTATCGTATTCTGTGGTTAATAACGAAGCAGCAACGCTCTCGGTCTCATCATCGACTGTTTTGGAGTTGATACATGAACGAGCCACTTCTAGCATGAGTTCCACCTCTTTCTTGTACTGCACATAAACATTTGTGTAGGTTAATTCGATTCTAGCAAGTAATGGATGGTCAAGGGTCGGGTTGTACCTCATTGATGGCACCCGACTTTATTTTCGATTGCATTACACACCATTTCTTAAAATGTACACCTGTTCATTCAACCAAAACTGAAAAAGCTTCACACACAACCAATGAGAGGTTTTGGTATGACGTGCAGATCATATGTTGATAGTGAAAACAAACTGCTAACATGATCGTGCAGTCCCACATCAATCAAAAGGGCAAAAGGTCTCCAAATACTACGAAATTGCCTCAGTACCCATTTTGTGAGAATTATTTTTCTCGATCAACATAACAAAGTTTCAGAAGTTCCTATCTTTTTACTCATTTTGACCGTAACCCTGCTGCTATTATAACATCTGATGACGTGGATGTCTAAGGAATTTGGTGGAATTGAAATCCATCAAAGGAATTTGACTATGAGGAATTATAATGGAATTTGACCACGCCTTTGGTTGGTAGGAATTCGAATGAGATCTCTCAAAAGAACTGGAATCTCCATCTTTGTTTTGGGGAGGGTGGGGGTAGCAGTTGTGACGACGACATTAGTGGCATGGTGATATTGGTGGTCGGAGGTGGGGGTAGGTGGGGTTGCAGCATGATGACGACAGTCATGCCACTATTGTAGTTGTGACGACGAAAGTAGTGGCATGGTGGTAGGTG